TAATTAACACAAATCTCTAAGTAGTCTGTCGTCATTCAGGTATAATCAGATCACATTGAAGATGTAAACTCATGATGAATTACTAATGACTCACTTGATTTACTAATTGGTTTACAAGATTGCAGCAATAAAATAACAGGCGTGTCTTTATTGAATTGCCTTCTTCTTAAAGGGATAGTTATGGAAGCTTGTTTCCAACCACAGAATAAAAAATTAAAAAGGTCATTGCGACTTTTTTTCCTCACAATTTACTTTTTTCACATCACTTTTTCCTCAGAACTGTGAGATATAAACTCAGAATTCAGAATTTTCTCACGATTCTGACTTTTTTCACATCACTTTTTCCTCAGAACTGTGAGATATAAACTCAGAATTCAGAATTTTCTCACGATTCTGACTTTTTTCACATCACTTTTTCCTCAGAACTGTGAGATATAAACTCAGAATTCAGAATTTTCTCACGATTCTGACTTTTTTCACATCACTTTTTCCTCAGAACTGTGAGATATAAACTCAGAATTCAGAATTTTCTCACGATTCTGACTTTTTTCACATCACTTTTTCCTCAGAACTGTGAGATATAAACTCAGAATTCTGAATTTTCTCACGATTCTGACTTTTTTCACATCAATTTTTCCTCAGAACTGTGAGATATAAACTCAGAATTCAGAATTTTCTCACGATTCGGACTTTTTTCACATCACTTTTTCCTCAGAACTGTGAGATATAAACTCAGAATTCAGAATTTTCTCACGATTCGGACTTTTTTCACATCACTTTTTCCTCAGAACTGTGAGATATAAACTCAGAATTCAGAATTTTCTCACGATTCGGACTTTTTTCACATCACTTTTTCCTCAGAACTGTGAGATATAAACTCAGAATTCAGAATTTTCTCACGATTCGGACTTTTTTCACATCACTTTTTCCTCAGAACTGTGAGATATAAACTCAGAATTCAGAATTTTCTCACGATTCGGACTTTTTTCACATCACTTTTTCCTCAGAACTGTGAGATATAAACTCAGAATTCAGAATTTTCTCACGATTCGGACTTTTTTCACATCACTTTTTCCTCAGAACTGTGAGATATAAACTCAGAATTCAGAATTTTCTCACGATTCGGACTTTTTTCACATCACTTTTTCCTCAGAACTGTGAGATATAAACTCAGAATTCAGAATTTTCTCACGATTCGGACTTTTTTCACATCACTTTTTCCTCAGAACTGTGAGATATAAACTCAGAATTCAGAATTTTCTCACGATTCGGACTTTTTTCACATCACTTTTTCCTCAGAACTGTGAGATATAAACTCAGAATTCAGAATTTTCTCACGATTCGGACTTTTTTCACATCACTTTTTCCTCAGAACTGTGAGATATAAACTCAGAATTCAGAATTTTCTCACGATTCGGACTTTTTTCACATCACTTTTTCCTCAGAACTGTGAGATATAAACTCAGAATTCAGAACTTTCTCACAATTCGGACTTTTTTCATATCACTTTTTCCTCAGAACTGTGAGATATAAACTCAGAATTCAGAACTTTCTCACAATTCGGACTTTTTTCACATCACTTTTTCCTCAGAACTGTGAGATATAAACTCAGAATTCAGAATTTTCTCAGAATTCTGACTTTTTTCTCAGAATTCTGAGTTTACATCTCGCAATTCGGAGGAAAAAGTTCAATAAAAAAAGGTCATTCATAATAGCAATGTCATTATTCTGACTTTTTTCTCGCAATTGAGAGTTTATATCTCACTTTTATTTTATTTCACTTTTCCTTCACAATTCTGAGTTTGTTTCACAATTCTTTAAAAAAACAACAACTTAGTTCACTAAAAAAATTTAAATAAATATATGAATGAATGAGCAAAAAATGAGTAAATATATATAAATTAATAAATAAACAAATGGATAAATAAATGAATAAATAAATAAATGAGTAAATAAATAATGAATAAAAGAATGAATGAATGAATGAATGAACAAATGGATAAACAAACAAATAAATTCTGTCATCATTTACTAACTCTCATGCCGTTCCAAACATTTCTTTCTTCTGCAGATCACAGAATATGATATTTTGAAGAATGGTTGTGTCCATACAATGAAAGTCAATGGTGTCCAAAATAACAAAAAATGCAAATCAGGCTGTCATTTCTGAAAATACCTTCTTTTGTGTTTCAGAAATAAAAAGTCGTACCGATTTGGAACAGTTAGTAAATGATGACAGAATTGTAATTTTTGGGTGAACTATCCCTGAATACACAATATGGATCATTTCAATCACAGTTAAATGAATCAATGCACTTAAGTTTCCAAATGGTTAATGTAGTTGAATATTTGATCTGTGACATAGTAATGAAGAGGCTTTTGGCCCAAAGCTATTTTAAAGGGATAGTTCACCCAAAAATTCTGTCATTAATTACTCGCCCTCATGTCATTCCAAACCCGTATGACCTCCGTTCATCTTCGGAACACAAATTAAGATATTTTAGATCAATTCTGAGAGCTCTCTGACCCTCCCATAAACAGCAATGTAATTACCACGATCAAGGTCCAGAAACGTAGCAAGGACATCTGTAAAATAAATTAAGATAAAATATCTTAATTTGTGTTCTGAAGATGAACGCTGGTCTCACGGGTCTGATTAATGACAGAATTTTCATTTTTGGGTGAACATTCCCTTTAATGTAAGTGGGCAGCATTATGAATCAGTCTGTTAGGAATGCATCTGAATTTGATATAAAATCATGCTTTATATTTACAAGCTGTCTAAGAAATACAAAAAGCAAAGAGAAGAAGTAGCATGTGTACTGAGCAGAACCCAAAATACTCCTCACTCTTTGTATAGATAAAAATGGGCATTGTTGTTGGAATAAACAGAACGACTTCAATTAACGGTGAAACCAGTCGGACAAGCTCTCTGACATCTTCCCTTGTAATCTAGACACATATCAGCACTTGTGCTTGTGAACTCACGTTTCTGCAAGACCCAGACGGATTCATCCATGGTTGCTTCACCCAGATTTCCACAATACATTTCAGTACTGCATTACTCTGCTCATGTTAAATGATATTTTTAATTAACTTTGAATGACTTCTATTGACATCAGCTCAGCAAATCGCAGTGAATTACCTGAATGCCAGACTGATGTTCCATTATGTCCATTAATCAATCATCTAATTCAAAAGCTCTGTGGTTATGTTCAGTCATTATTTCTTAGCAAAGAACAGTCCTATATCAATAGCACAAACTACAGTAATTGAGAAAAAATGAACACCTGTCTGAATTTGTCACTCAGTGGCTCACACTTAAAAAAAAAAAACTTGCAATAAATTTATAATAAAAACTTTGGAGCTGTTGTTGCCAGAAACTCAAAGTGAAAAACTACCGTGGCAATGTGTCTGGATGTCTGTATATTTTACAACTTAAAACTATATTTAATTAATCTCATCTGTCGAGCTCTAAAGAGAACAAAAAACTCTATAACAGTCCATAAATTACCATAAAAGTAGTCCATATGCACTATATATTAAGTCTACTGGTATCTATACAATGTATTTTTAGGAAGAACAGAATGAAATGTAATTATTGAATGAAAATCTTTTTAACCACCGAAGCTCTCTAAAATTCTCTCTAAAATTAAGTATAGGACTCGAGAACTGCAAGAAAAGGAACAATTTTCAATGAATAACAATTTAAATTTCAGTCTTTTTCATGAACTTTTTTACTGCAATATGAGAACCAACTGAGTAAACACAGCTTTCCAAAAGTGCAAACAGTCTGCGATGACTCAACAACAACGTCACGCTGACATAGGATGTGTACCTCAAAGAGACCTGATGATGCCAAGCAATAAAAGCATAAAATTATGCAGAAGTGAGTGAGTTCATCAAGTGAACAGTAAATAGGTCAGTGCTGAATAGAAAACTGACATCCCCACAAACTCCTCTTCAAAATATTAAGAGCAATATACTGTATATAAAAAGCTACAAAACTGGTTTATATATAATATATATATTAATAACATCAATAACTGCAACCGTTCAGTCAGAACTGTTGGCCACATTCTACTCTCCACACGGATTCCAGCTCATACACTTTGTCTGACCTCTGTTGATCATATCAAGATAAACAATTAACAGTTATTTTTATTGTAGCCTATCACCAAACGTGAAATCAGTTTCAGTTTAACATTACAGTTATTATGAACTCAGTATAAACTAAAAGTAAACAATACAACCAAAAAGATATTTCATTCATTTTCTGTCGTAACCAAGTAACCAGCTTTAGAAAAACTGTCCATATTCCAGACTATAGATATTCTAATCAATATTCAAATGAGATCCCGCCTCATTTTGAACTGCATTTCCATTCCAGTTGACAAAAGAATCAAATATGACAACACAAACCAGCACTTAACTCTGAAACATAACAAGTCACCCATTATTAAGCTGTTGACTTGCACTGACAAACTAGAACACTGAAGACTTCCCAGCCATTCTATCCTCTTATTCCCAGGATTAGACCGATGCAAAGCTCATTACATAACGAACGCCTATATCAGCACTTTCCACCTGCTAATATAATTAGACTGTAAAAAAGTGTACAAAAACTACAGTATCTATCTATCTATCTATCTATCTATCTATCCATTTTACTTGAATAAATGCAGTTAATTTAGATGTTGCCATATGAAGCACACTGCATGTTCTTAATAACTAACTATAACAACCATAGTAAATATAAAATACTTTAAATAGATTTAAATGTGATATTAATGACACGATGAATATGTAGTTCAGTAATATTTTTGATATCAGTTAAATCATTCAATAGAACATTTTGATCATGTACTGTCCTACACCTTATAAACCTTGTACTTATGCAGGCATGCTATAATTTTTTTCTTATTCGAATTCAATCAAGTGCATTCAATACACTGTCTTCGAGATCTCACAGGGCAGAAAAGTATCAGTTCTGCGCTTACCTGCTGTTCATAGGGAGATGATGAGCTCCTATAATCCCGCTTTAATGATCGTGCTAGCAGGATGGCTACATTGAACTGGCTGATTTCTGCTGTTCTTGCTTATGTAACCGAACACTCGCAAAGCTTAGTTGGTGTCTTGAGCAGATGTGCGCTCCTACAAGTCTCAGGTAAGTCAAATGCCTTCGGGTGATGGGTCTCTCCTGTCTAACCGGTCTGTCTGACAGTGGGCGTGGCCTTCACTGTTCAGCTCCTCCCACATAAACTCCTCCCACTCTGCGCTCAGTTTAATCTCATCCGCGGTACTGAGCGTTCAGTCAGTGCTGCTGCTGTAGTTTTTATAATACATGTATTTTATAATACATATTATTAAAAGTATTACATTATTAAAATAGAATGTCTAAAAGTGAAAAAGCACAAGAGAATTCAAGCTGGCCTTATTAAGTATAAATAACTGGACAAATCACGTGAATTACTGGTTAAATCATATAAAAAACTTTGTCCAAAGCACATTTTAGTTCCTCTCATGAAGCCCACATGCCCAATATTTTAGATGTTATGCTTGAGAACTTGCGGTCATTACAACATTCTCACAGTATTTTACAGGTTTCATTTCTGTCACCAATGATCTGCCTAAGATTTCAATTTATGAAAGTCACATTTATTATTTATTACATTTTAAATGTATTTACTTAAATTTTACTTAAAGTTTTTATTTTTATTTGTATTACATTTTTAACAGCTATAATACATCTCCCTCATCTTGTTTTAAATTGATGAAGTACTGAATCTGTGCACAAATCAAAGTCTGTTATTTGCTTTATAACACCAAATGTGTGCTCAAAATGATCAAAATGTTATAAAAGGGACAATACATTTGCATTGTTGTGCAAGCTTTTCAGAGACAAATACAGAATACAGACTGCCTGTTTAAATATATGATACAGCTGTCAGTTATTTATGACTCTAAACTGTTTGTACTTGCTATCCAAACACATGACTGTACAGGTTCTGCTCTTGGTCAAACACTGTAAAACCTCATGCTCTTGAGTACTTTGTTTGCCGCTCAGTGCGTCTCATTGAGATGGTAGTAAATTAAAAGATTACTAGGATACTGTGGAACTTCCTCTATTTAGTGACATTGCAGTGTTCCTATAGTGGCCATGGAAAAACAGCATCAGGATGTGGAAAGGTATCATGACCGATAAAACTTTTAGCATCAAAGGATGTGTTTGCTATAAATCTCCTGATCTGGGCCAATCTGTAAAAGCAGAGATGACTAAGATATTTTTAATTGCCTAGTTTCTCATTTTTGCAGCAAGGATCTCCACTGGACTCTTCTGATTATACCAGCTTCTAATGTAACAGAGGGGAAATTAATCACACAAGCACAGCTATTACCAAATTTAAAGCCATTTCTGGTAGAGTAATATTTCCTGACATTTTCATTAACAGTCTCCAGATCCCTGTTGCTCTAGGATTCGATGCATGTGATTAGAAAATTGGACAGCTAAAAGCAATACTAATGTCTACAGTCTATAATTTCTAGAAGGAGAGAAGTGTTTAAAGTATTTAGAAATAAAACAAGTCTCAAGGAAGTAAACAAGGTCAAACCAGACAACAAATGGATGCTGAGAGTGAAAAGTGAGGGGAAAAGACTTACTTAAAATAGAATGTCTTAAAGTGAAAAAGCACAGGAGGATTCAAGCTGGCCTTTTTAAGTAACTGGACAAATCACATGAATTACTGGATAAATCACACATTTTAGCTCCTCTCATGAAGCCCACGTTATGCTTGAGAACTCGCGGTCATTACAACATTCTCACAGTATTTTACAGGTTTCATTTCTGTCACCAGTGGCCTACAGCTTAAGATTTCAATGGCATTTAAATCCAGACGGAGGTTATTGCATACCATTACGCCATAAAGAGAGCAATTAAATGAAAATGAGGTTAGAGGTGGCATACAGTACAAATAGGTCTTAAATATGATAATATTTCATGTGCACCTGAGGGGGAAAAAAAGTATTTCAGTAAGGTTTCACAATGCTTCACCATGACATCTGGACTTTCTAAAAAATTTCCCACTGTAAGAGTTCCACAAGTAAGTTCCATTAAAAAAACGCTGGTAAAAGTGCATTTCAAAAACATCAGAACCAAATGTTTCTGAACAGTACATGCTTAAAAAAATAAAA